CAGCTCCGGGGGGAACCTTGAGTTTTCCCGGGTACTTTATGATTTCCGGAAAAATTTTAAACATAAAACTGGTCCTTTAGCAAAAATCATTTAAAATTAAAATCCTTTTAAAATTTTCTCTTAACTTTAAAAATTTTTTTTTTTTTTTATGTTTAAATTTAAAAATTTAAAAATTTGTCCAAAAGAACCTTTGAAAACTTTTCTAACCCTTTTTATAACAAGCCCCAATCCCCAAAAATTTAAATAAGTTTACAATAATTTTTAAAAATAAACACATATATTATTTATATATATATATATAAAAATTATATATATATAATTTTTATTTATATATAAAGTCGAATAGGCAAAACTTTCAAATTTATTGTTTTCTCTGGGATGAGGTCCCCAGTCCATTAAAGAGGTGGTACCTCCCCATATTATATATATAAAAATATAATTTAAAAATATATATATATATAATATATTTATATATATATTTTTTATATATATATATTATATATATAATTATATATATATAATATATAATATAAATTTAAAATATATAATAAATATATATATATAAATTATTATACTATATTTTAAAATATTAATATATAAATTATATTATATATTTATATATTTAAAATTATATATATATATATATATATATTATTTTTTATATTATATATATATTTATTATATAATTATATATATTTTTAAAATATAATATATATATATTAAATTTATATATATTATAATATATATTATATATATATATATTAAAATATATTAATATAATATATATATATATATATATATTATAATATATAATATTATTATAATATAATATATATATATATATTATATTAATAAAATATTTTTTATATATTAATAATATATAATATATAATATATATATAAAAAATTTTTTAAAAAAGTCGGGCCTCTCCCACCGAGGGAGGGGGGGACCCAAAAAAAAAAGACAATCCCCAAAAAAAAAAATACTTCATCATCATTCAACACTTTCCCACACTCGCACATTTTCATGTTTTTTTGAGGGGCTCAAATACAACAGTTTAGAAGCATACACAATAAAATCACAAAAAATATCTCTCCAAAACTGCCAATATCCCCAAAACCCCCCCTTTAAAAATGCGGGATTGACTTCCCATTTCCAGGGCTCAATCCGACTATATAAAAAAAATATATTATATAATATATTATATATATATATATTAATAAAAAATATATATATAAAAATTAAAAAAAAATATATATAATAATGTATATATATATATCATTTCCGAAAATGTAAAACTGGTCATTTAGCAAGAACTCATTTAAAATTAAATCCTTTCTAAAATTTTATCTTATACGTTTAAAGATAAATTTTTTTGTTTATGTTAATGTAAAAATTAATAATTTTGTTCTAAAAGAACCTTAGAAAACTTAACTAACCTTATTATAACAAGCGTAATTTAATTTAGCCTAATGCAACTAAATATAATTTAGATAAGTTTACAATAATTTAATAATGAACAAACACAATGAAATACATTTTTTTCATTAGGTTCAGAATGATTTTTGCGAAATTATTGCATACACATATTTTAGCTTGCCTTATTCAGCAAGAAGAGCGTTGCTATTTAAGCTAAAATTGCAAGTTTTACCTATTCGACATTTTATAAAATAATATATATATATATATATAATATTTTTTTATATATATATATTTTATATATATATATATATATATAAAATACGTATATATATATATTTTAAATTATTTATATATATATATTTTATATATTATATATATATATATATTTGTGTTTATTATTAAATTATTTGTAAACTTATCTAAAATATATTTAGTTTGATTAGGCTAAATTAAATTGTGCTTGTTGTAATAAGGTTAGATAAGTTTTCTAAGGTTCTTTTGGTACAAAATTATTAATTTTTAAATTAATATAAATAAAAAAATCTTTAAACGTACAAGAGAAAATTTTAAAAAGGATTTAATTTTAAATGCGTTTTTGCTAAAGGACCAGTTTTACTGATTAATGATTCCGGAAATCATTGGCCCCGCTGCCTTGTTAGAGTTGTCTTATATGTTTATAAGATATGAAGAGAAGACCATCAAACCTATCAAAACACAACGATACACAGATTTCCATTTCACA